GCTTGATATAGGAAAGGTATCAGGATACATTTCATTGTTGCTTGGTGTGCACAGGGCAGTGTTGACCTGTGTCCACAATGCAACAATCAAAAAGGGTCCACTACCTCATTTAGTCATGATCTTTTTTAAATTCACATGCACACTTCAACTTTTGATGATGCCAAGGTTTGCAGTCCTGTTTTTCTACTGTAATTCTTTCTTTATTGTGTTTTATTAATTTCTCATCCTGTCAGATGGTTTCTCTGTCCCCTCCTGGAGGTTGAGCCGTACCACTACATCACTGACTATTTACAAAATGCTTGTTCGGTGCAGCATATTAGCATGTACGGTTTTACATTAAAGTTACAGTCCCAAAACATAGAAACACATTTATGCACAATCTAATCAACAAGCTCCTGCTTTAAATTATTCAGAAACACCCCTCACCTCTATCCATATTCTCCGGTGAGAGAAGCAACGATATATTTGGAACATCACACTTTTAAGAGCGTGAGCTTCAACTCCCCTGGGTCATTTTCTGCTCTGGTCTTAATTGAGAGTGTTCTGGAAAAATCATTACTATATTAATGATTTAACACAAAGTAACTACCTGCTTTTTTCCAGGAGGAAAGGGAGATTTGCTTCGAATCAATACCCATGCACGCTCATTATAAGGGGGGTAAAGTTATAGTAATTAGGCAGACACCAATAACTTTTTAATGATCTTTGTTTTTAATTGCATATTATCGGGTTGCACAGTCTGTGTGTTTATACCCAAATATAAGATAATGGTGAAAGGAGAAGTAGATTAAAGAGAGGAGGCACCTGCAATTTTTTTCTTTTTTTTTCTTTTTACTTCAGCAGCAAGAACAGATAGTCTGCAGAAAAAAAAGGAGGATAAATGTGACCATCCCTTTGTGTCTTTTCTTTTGTGCATCAGTTTACAAGTAATGTGCCCATACTGGCAGTCTGGGGTTTTGAAATATTTGTGAAATAACACTTCCCTTTCTGCTGTCTATTAGGCTGAGGAAGTGAAAGGACTGTAGACAAAAAAAAAAAAAAAAAAAGGGGCACAAGGACCTTTAAGAGAAATCATTAATATTGCACTTATATCATAGAGTGTTTCAATTAAACACTTACTGGTTAAGTAAAAAAATATTAATACATTAACTGTTTATTCAGTCTGTTTTCAGCTGACTGCAGGCAGTCGTGTGTCCCGCCGTTGATTAAAGGTATCATTTCGCCACTACAAAATAAAAGGCAATGAAAATATAAATTAAAATGAGGATAAAATGCAACTGCAATGGGCAGCCATCTGTTAGCTCTTAAAGGGGAAGTGGTATACTCGAAGCAGCGGAGGGCTGTGTGTCTCAGGAAGAATAAGAGAAGGAGTGGGATAAATGTGGTGATAGAAAGAGCCCAGGAATGCCAGGCCGGCAATCCAGGACTGCTCTGAATAAGCGAGCAAGCCAAGAGACGTTTTTCTTCTTCTTCTTTTTCCGCCCTTTGCCCCACTCTGCCTCCCTTCTCCCTCCCTTCCTCGGCCTGTTCGCTCTGGCCGGTTCCCCCGAAACACCGCAGCAGATTGTCGATCCAACGACTCCCTTGTCAAGTGATTATCTAGGAGCTTTAATGTAATCTTCCGCTCTCACGTACCATATTTCAATTACGAGTGCCATTGCGAAACAAGCTGCATATTCACTTCACCAATCGCCCCGCTGCTGCCTCAACAATGTCAACTGTAAAAGAACGCCAGCTGAAGGCAATTACGCATGTTTTCAGAGCCAATTATGATCGCTCTCACGGCGGCGGTTATGCCACAAGCAAGGGAGTGTTAGGAAATTTTTAATTTAATGACAATATGCTCATGGTAGGATTCAGCATGCGGCCCCCACTCCCAGGCCTGCCATTTCAGAATCCACAGAGGGAACCATTAGGCAGATAGGAAAAGATTATGGCCTCTCTCAAGGGCCACACTGGGAGCACAGGGATGGCCTCAGTAGTGCCGGGTAGATGGCATCCACTCATCCTCTCTGCAAGATCACAGCTGGCAGGGCCGAGTCCAAAGCAGAGAGGCAGGCTGGTTAGCTCGTCATCCAGTTTGGACTATGCCTGCAGAGGGAGCATAAACTCACACATTCTCACAGCAGACCGGAGGCTGAGAGATGCTGCGGAGAGAGATCAAAGTCTGCTCTGCGGGGCTTCCTTCTTCGACATTGCTGAGACACGGGCTTGACACCATTGAGTCTGAAAGCTTCTGGTAAATGGTCTTGAATTTGACATGCGAGGTTTTGGGGTTGTTTTTTTTCCAAAATTGTGGAAACAAGTTTTCAGCTTTGTTCCAGAAAAAGAGCTTGGAGGAGGAAAAAGTTGTAAAATGACACACGTCACAGTAAAATATATATTTTTTTAAAATTAATCTGTCAGTTACTGGTTATGAAGTAAATGACAATGTCATAATACATGTTTTAAAAGATCTATATTTTACGAAAGCTGTTTTACGTGCATGATCGCACGACCACTACAAGCAAGAGGTTACAGAACAGTCAGGTTTGTATTCACCGTCACAGCAGCAAAATAGGTTTTACAGAAAGAAAGCATATTGTTCGTAAATTTGGGTTTTAACGGTTTTAAAGGCTCAATTGTTCAAAAAACAAAATGCAGGTTAGAGCTGAGCCTCCCCTCCCTCTCCCAGTGGGATGTTTGTATAAAACCCAGTCAGTTCTCGGGGGTAGGGGTTGACAGGAGAAGACATCGCCCCAGTCCCTGGGAGATTGGTGAACACAACACATATATTAATGCATTAAATGTGTTGACTGTGTTCAGCCCAGAGATGCAGGAGTGAGAGAGAGCGAGAGAAAGGTTTGGGGGAAGAGGAGAAAAAAAAGCTGTTGTTATGTATGGTGTTGTCTTGTATACCGCGCCTGGCAGTGTGTGTAAGTGTGTGTGTGTGTGTGTGTGTGTGTGTGTGTGTGTGTGTGTGTGTGTGTGTGTGTGTGTGTGTGTGTGTGTGAGGTGGGGGTGTTGGAGAAGTGTTGGCCAGATTATAAGGCCTGTGTTGAGAGATGAGGGATGGCCAACTTGTAAACAAGTGACAAGCGTCCTGGATGACAATTCCTAATCCATCATAGTGCTGTCAGCGGTGACCGGCGAGGTGACGGACAGCACCCAGGAGAGGGGGCAGCTGGTGCACGTCAGTCCACATCATAATTCGATTTTGCACATGAGCCGAAACAGAAGAAGAGTCAGAAAGAAGAAAGAACTTTCTGTCAGTTGCCTTCTTCTCAGTCAGTCGTCTCCATTTTCTCACCTCTGTCTCATTTTTCATCGTTTTAAGGCTCTGAAATGATGTAATGTTCAATTATGGGGAGGAAAAAAGGGATGCCATCAATTTTGTAAAAGTTCCTTGTGAGTTCAGTTGAAAATGTAATCTTCTTACATATTTGTCAGCATTTACTAAGTGGCAAAAAACATTACTAAACTGACAATAAAGAATACATAAGTTTATATAAGAATATAATATGCGTGAGTTTTTTTTTTTAAGTCAATAGAGACTGAAATGTTATCCTACTTAGTGACATTATCTTGCAATGCAACTCCAGTGAACTGTTTTGTTTGTTTGTTTTTCAGTGATAACAGGAATCTGTATAAAGAGGTTGGCTTTACTCCCAACTCATGACATGATAACACAGAGCCAGCCTAGCAAGTGAACTAGGCATCTGCCCCTACCCTCCACACACACACACACACACACACACACACACACACACACACACACACACACACACACACACACACAC